GTTGTCAGGTTTGCAGCTCAGTAAGAGATACTATTACAGGCTAATTAATGAACTTCATATCCAGCTGTATAAATGCATATAAGATGTAATAAGATACACCAACCCGATTAGTTAGTTAAAGCTGACAGTTCTAATCGCAGAAGCAGGGTGTAACTGCACATGAAGAGTTTCTAATGACACTTGAATGAAACTTCTTTGTACGTCAGTTTCATCAGACAGTGTGAAGACAGAGACCACAGGATCCAGCGCCCATTCTTACAGACGGAGTACAGTGTGCCTGGGGGTCCTGTGTTTCCTCCTGTTCCTCCTGTTAATAATTCTGGGTGTCTATTGTGAGTATGAATCAGTGTTTGTATGTATTTATCTGTATTACTGTCTGTAGTGTGATCTTAGACTTTATACAGCAGGTTTAAATGTCTATCCACATATTTGTTTAACAATGATCTCCTATCATGGTCATATGAAATTAGTATTTAAATTTCCAAATATATATTGGTTAGTGATCATGTAAGCTCTAACTGCAGAATTTACCTCTTGTATTCATATGTTTTAATGTACCTGTGTGGAAATTGGAAGGAATAATCTGACAATTTCTCGCAAGCGGGGACACACGTCACCCTTCTTCATTAAACCGCGACCACAGAACAATCCCATCATGTGAAGATGAGCACTAATTCCAAAAGGTCAATCGCAACCTGAGTTAAAATATAGATAGCCAATTATAGATTATACATTAAGTATTCATGAACAACATAACCACAAATAGACTTGGTAGTATGGTGAATTATGCTCAATAAACCAAACCTTAAACTGTCATGTAAAGTCGCTACACTTGGCAATTATCAGAACTAGTAAGACACCAAAAAAACCCTAATTTTTTCAGTGATGGGAGTTAAACCGAAAGAGCACAACGATGACTGCAGCATCCTGGCTAATGAAAAGGAGCAGCTTCTCCTTGAACTTAACGACACGACTCACCTACAGGAACAAAATAACCAGCTACAGAAAAATTTCAACATCACAGTTACGAACATGAGACATCTACAGGAACAAAACAGCCAGCTGCAGAATAATTATATACAGTTAGAGGACATGAAGAATAAGTTGGCCGGTGAGAAGGAATATTTTCAGCAACAATGCAGCAGTTTGAAAAAAGAAAAGGAGGAAATACAAAAAAACTATGATGCTCTGTTAAATAAGTTACCCCTCCTTCAGAAGTACTGCCACACCACTGAAAACGGTAAATATACACTTTTTCTCTCAGCTTAACTTATATATTTCAATTAATATATGACTTTCTCACTGATTCCATCAGCCGTTTTAGACAGAGTGAGTGTTTCTTGTGTCTTTTCAGTGCGAGTCTGTGATCCCTGTCCTCAAGACTGGAAGGAGCACAATGGCCAGTGTTACTATTTCTCTACAAGTGTAACGACCTGGAATGAAAGTCAGAATAACTGCAGTAAGGAGGCAGCTCACTTGGTGACTGTAAACAGTGAAGAGGAGCAGGTGACTGGCCTGATCTCTGTGTGTGATTGTTTGTGTGAGTGACCAAGCTCATCTAGTGCAGGTTCATCCAATAGTGCCGTGTGGCTCCTTTGACAGTGTGATGTGTGGCTTATGTTCCCATCCAGCATGTGCCAGTGCGGACACTGTGTCTCTCAGCAGTGCTGCGTCAGTCATTCACTGTCTTCTGTTCAGGGC